TGAAGCGAACGTCTGCTTCCCAGGTCTCAAAGTCAGTGTCAAACCGTAGTGGCCTGGAGGCTCTGTTGGCCTTGTGGTGTCGATGCGAGATGTAGTGCGATCTGAGGTATATGATGGGACCTTCTTCTGCAAGCTCAACAGCTCCGTGTGCAACAAGTAGGTCCCAAACTTCATGGACCCACACCGGTTGGTCGATGCCGGGGGGACGGTCATAGGCACCTTGCAATGGATCAGCATGTCCTTGAGGATGTCCAGCAGGAGGGTCTGTGTCCTCATCCACGCTCATGGAGACAGGAAGACAAGGATGTCGATGACCTCCCGTGGGACACAGCTTCATGAATAACAGAGGATCAGCATCTGCAGGAAGAGCCAACAAAGAATCAGCACTTGTCGCCAAGGTTTCGAGCTGAAGGCCAACCATGAAGTCTGCAGAGTCCTCCGTGGTTTCATCGCACTGAAAATCTGAATCATGCTCACCAATGAGGATGCGCAAATAGTCGCCATCTTCAAGGTGTAGTGGCTCAATGAAGTCCTCCGCAATGAGATTGTTGTTGAACCAAAGCTTGCAACGTTCACCATGTGCATCCAGGAGAGATTCCAAGTCCAGCATCCGAAAAACAGAACGCCTGTTGATCGTTCTGGGAAGCCATCTGGAGAATCGTCTGAAGGCTCCAGGCAGGATCTCATTGGGTTCATAAATTTCAAGGTCAACCAACACGATGCGGAGGAATGGTGAAGGCCGCCGTTCTTCATGAATTTGAGGTAGAATGCATTGAAGATTCTGGGACACAAGGTCCTCCGGGCGCGCTAGCACATTGTGGAAGCCCAGAACTTCGTCTGGGACAATTCCAAGGCTTGCGCAATTTGATGTGCAACAGTGTCACTGGCATCATTGGAAAGACGTGCAGGAACCATGCGCCCATCCAAAAGAATCAAAACTGTTCGTTGCCACAAAACTCTGGGTGAAGATGAGGGCAAACTCAAAGAGGAACTGGATGTCATAGATGAAGGAGCCACTGAGTCCGTTGGACTTGCTCGTCTAGGCCCAGGACGTCTGGCCATAAATGAGGTCGAATCTCCATCGTCATCAGGACATCGAAGGCGCCAAGGTTTGTCCGGCCATGCAAAAAGTGTCTCATGATGAACTCCGACAGCATGGAACTCAATGTCGTCATCCAATCCCATGAGCACCTGAACTGTAGGCTGAAAAGAAACCTTGAAAGAAGAAGTCTTTCTGCGCATGGGTAAAGCAAAGACATCTGTGCGTAGTTCGGCTGAAAAACCCAAATCAGTCGCTACCTCAGATGCCAGCTCAATTGCCCGCCATTCTGATAGGAAGTCTCTCTCAGAAAGGATCGAATGGGACCAGTGCAAGGTCGCAGCAAAGGGGTCAAGCTGCGCTACAGGCCCCATGGGTGGCATCGGCCACTGGTACGCATACAGTGCAGTCATGTCGTACCGGCCTAACGAAAAGAGGCACCACCAGAGCCACCTGCACCACCATCGACCATGGTGTCTTCCTTTTCGGTGCGTGGCCGTTTGACCCTCTGCTCCAGCAAATCTGCTGAGGCTGAAAGCTCCACTAAGCTCTTGACGATCATGTTCATGCCATCGTGTATTCTTTGCGCACCTTGATCCTGTTGATCTGAGGACCCATCTCCGGGATCTTCTTGGAGGTCGACATCCTCCTCTTCGTCGGAGACTTGGATGGCATCCCCAGATTGTGCCTGCTCGCGTTTGGAAGCCTGGTCGAAGCGCTTCTGTGCCCTTTTGACATTCAACTTCGCGGTCTGAATGCTGTTCTGGTGCGCCGACTCCGAGGCTTGAAATTGAGCAGAAAATTCTCTCCACTTGACCACCGATTGTTGTAGGAAGGTTTTCCACTGGGAGAGAAGCTGAGCTTTGGCATTTTCTGCTTCCAGTAGATCCTCCTTGGCTTGTCCCAGGACTTTCACTGCGACACTCAACTCCTTGGTGTTGTCGCGCTCGTCCTGCTTTTGCATGGTATGAGCCATCTTTTGAAGATCGGAAGTGAGGGAGTCTTCGTCCTTCTTCATCTGCTTCAACAGGCGATTGAGATTTGCCTGGGCTCTTCCCTCCTTCTTGACCTCCTCGGTGGATGTTTCGGTCTGTCCAATCCCAATGGGGGCTGCCGGAACAGGCATCATCTGCATCGTAGGCGCCCATTGTCCTGGAGGACCTGTCACTGCTGTCGAAGGTGGAGAAGGCATAGTCAAGGGTGGTGGTGGAGGTTGTCCTTTGCCACTTCCTTTGTCTGTTTGCATGGACTGATAGGGAGGAGCCATGATCTGGTGCTGTGGGTAAGGCATCATCATGGGCATCATCTGAGGCATGGGTAGCATCGGCCCTAGTGACGGAGCCCCTGCATCGAAGCCCTTGCCGTAGCCCTTCTGGTGGGTCTGAGCTTCTCCATGCCAGTTGTCTCCCGTCTTGTTCTTGCCCTGTTTCTTGCGCCTTGATCTTGTTCGCGGACTTCGGCTGCCTGAGTCCTGCCAGGTTGCACCATTCCAAGGAGGCGGATGTCCAGCGGCCTGATTGTAGGACTGCTGCTGATTCCTGTACTCCGGGGGTACAAAGGAAGGATCTTGACAGGCTTGCCATTCTTGTCCACACTTCCAACACCTTGGAAAAGACCCTTTCATGATCACGTGGCACCTTGAGCACCTCCAAGATGGTTGCTTCTGAGCCATTTTGTCTTTGCAAGCTGCAAGAATGCGACGTAGAAACAGAGGGTCTCGGGAGTGATGTCGACGAAGGACAGCGTGTAGTTGGAGCAATTGTGAAGAGCTCAGGGGATGTGCACCTGTTCGATGCAGAAACCACTGAAGCCTTGCACGTGCTCTTTGCCGCCGTTCCGTGCGCCGCCGAGAAGAAGACGCCGTTCTGCTCGGAGAGAAAGTCAAAGGAGAAGTCCACCTGCTGATCCCCCTTGTCCCGAATCGTAAGCAAGAAAAGGAAGATCCAACAGGCCAAGATCATACACCGAGACTGGGTCAAAGGCCAGAAGGATGAAATCGCAATGGCCAAACCGGGATTTGTACGTGGCCCGGACCACAGCAACTGCTAGGTGATACTGACTGGCCAGGTCAGCAGAGCACAGCACAAAGGAACCTCCAGGCGATACCAGTTCAGAGGTCCAGAGCGCCAAAGCAAGGCAACGCAGTGCAAGATTGCCCGAGGGTGAAGCCCTCTAAGGTTGGTGGAACGAGTTCGAGGGGCACCCTTCACTGCGATCCAAAACCTTACATACATATATATATATATGTATATCCATTTAAGATCATTTACATCATCTGAAAATCCCAGCCAAAAAAAAGGCCATTCCCCTCCTTGCCGGCCAGAAAAACTTCCAACCTGTCGCACATTCATCGTTGCAGCCATGGTCACGGCTCCAAAATCCTGGACCTGGCTCTTTCGTGGGTGACCAATGGCAGCGGTATCGGTGCTACAAGCAGCAAGACATCTGTTCATAAATGTTACCCTCTGGTTATTTAACATAGCCATGGTATAGATGGCCCATTTATAGATGGTTTACCTATTATAAATGGTGATTTTCCTTGGCTATGTTAAATAACCAGATGGTAATCCCTTCCCCCTAATATAAAACACCCCTTTAGAAACCATGGTTTAGTAGGGAAATTCCACATCATTGGGACTATTGATGGGGTGTTTAATATTAGGGTGATGGGATTAACAATAAATGGCAGTGTACTAACACGATATGAGTATGGATTGCCCATTGTCTTGAGAGTGCATGAATTCAATGGTCAAACACACATAGTACGTTGGAAAACATGGCAATTGGGATGATTTGGGTGAAGAATCCCCGCGTTTTTCCAAGCCATGTTCCCTAGTGACCCAAACGCCCCACTTTTGACATCTGACGCCAACGTGCCGGCCACCACTTGTGGTTCTTGGAAGCCAGCGGACTCCAGTTGTCATGACATGAGTGGGATGGTCATGTAGATTTGAGGATGTCACCAAGAAGAACATGAGGATTTCATGGAGATGTACTGTAAATGGGATTTAGCAGCCGATATTTTTCGGATGTCATGGGGATTTGTTCATTAGGGATATAAATTTATGATATAAATGGGATATAGAACCAGCTATACCCTCTGGTAAACCAACAAATAACTATGGAATATCACCATGCTATTAATGGGAAAATCCACTATTTCGATTGGGTCATGTTCTATGTCGCTATGTAACAGTCATTACCAGAGGGTATCCTCTTGGAATAGTTGTGATTCCTGCCAGGCAGTGCAGTAATTTTCCAAGTGTATCAAGCATGGCGAATCCAAGATACCTGCGAATTTTTGTGACTGTTTGCATATGTGGGGTTTTCTGGTCCCGCCAATAGTTCCAGCATTTTCCCCAACAAAAAAGCAACACAAGCAATAAATTGCTGGAATTTATAGGGATCCCATTAGGATCCCCTTTGTTGGTATGGGAAGTTTATGGAAGGGCTACCATCCATTGGGAGTCCCCATGCCATGGTGTTGTGCGCAACACCGCGCAGGGCGTGTAATTGTGTAATTCAAAAGCTCGGGAAAATCATCGAAACCGTGGCATTCTTGGGATGATTCCCCCTTTTTCGACTTCCGAAATTACATGAAATTAGACTTCAGGAATGAGATTGAATAAGCCATGGGACCCATGGGATGCTTGTCAGGTCTACATTCTACATTGTTTTGCCGCAAAATCTACTTGACCTTCGGCTCAGCACCAGAATCTCAGCTGCTCATGGCTACACCATGGTGCTGGATGCCAGCTTCTGGCACCTTCATCTCCACCCACGGTCAAATATATATATATATATAATTATATTATATATATAATTAATATAATATGTATATTAATATAATATATATATATATGTATAAATATGTATAAATATGGCTTCCGAGAAACAACTGTTGTTCTCTTCCGGAAGTTTCTGCATCACATGTTTTTTTTTCACCAATTTTGTTCTACGTCACAAAAGGTTTTCACCGGATGTGGGTGTGTCCAAAAATTGGGTACATTCCCCGGATCTCGGGACCTACCCATCCCAGGCTCCGATAAAAATTGATAAAAACTACCGCTGCTCTCACCGCAGCAGGGGCTTCGCAGCGCCGTTGCCGGTCAGCGGCAACTTCTCTTTGGCCTCTTGAACCTGAAAAGTTGGGCGGCGGGCCTTTGGAAATGCATCCCAGTCGTGTAAGCTCAGGGCCAGGGTATAAGATGGTATAACTGGTGTAGCCCATTTACAAATACGTTATGTTTTGTACTCCAAGCTTCTATGGCCTATATCCATCTATATCCGCCAATGCCAAGTTGGGACATCCAAGAAATTTGGTTGAAGGGAAATCTACAGTACACCCATTGATTTGACAACCGGTCTGAAATATATTGGAAAACCCCTAAATCTACTGGTTCATCATGGTTCATCATTTCCCTGTTAAAAGATGTCCGCTTGGTGGAATTTTCAAGAGAAACACCCAAGTATCATGTATTGATATGTATTGTTGTGACAACATGTAGCCCATATAGCTGCCCTCATCAAATGTCATATGTGAATTCCTGTCCCTCCACCTCCACTTCTGGACCCCAAAAAACGAGTTGCCAACGGCTCGTCCAAGCAGCTCGGTATTCCAATAGCTGGTTGTGCTCAGCAGCTTGATACCACTCGGTCAGAACCTGAGCGGGGGAAAAACATCATCTATAGCATCCTGGAAACAGGTTTCTATCTTTTTTGGGTGTTTATGTGTAATACCACCCAAAAAAAAACGAAAAGGTTGACATGTTCATTCTTTTCTGGGCGATTTTACGAAAGGTTACTTTTGAAATATGTCCCTTCTCATCACTTTTCTGTTGTTTTTGGTGGGCGTGTAATAAAGTGACCCTCTCACTGGGTTTCTTATTTTGTAGCTGAAAATCTAGCAAAAAGAATGCAAAAAGACCAATTCTGGGGAGCGACGAAATTGAGTGGTTGAATAGTTAGATGATGGGACGATGCTCGTCAAGAGCCGATTTCAGGCCCTCAAGAAAACTTCAACTACTGACCCCTGCGCGTGTGATCAATGGTGTGGAACCAGTAAATGCCTAGCGGACCCTGGTTGATCCATTCATATGTAGGAAGCATCGGGCACCAACCTCAAAACAGTGACTCGCCATTCTTCAGGTGCAAAGTCCGACCCATCTCCAAGTCATCCAGAGCCCTCCTTTTTATAGAGGTTTCCTAAAATGAGGGTACCCCAAAACCATAAGTTTCAATACCAAAATGGTCTAATTTGGATGATTTGGTACCACCATTTCAGGAACCCCCTTGTTAAACAAGCCAGGTGCAATGGCAGAGTAGATGCACATTGAGAAGGAGTCGTTGAACATCTGCAAGGTTTCAGCATCGCGCGCCGCCTGAAAGATCCAGCCAGCTGGTATAGCTGGATCTTGATTCCCCCAGTGGTAAATTCATATGTGTTGACCCATCCGATAGGTTTCTTGGGGGAATAGAACGAACAAAGACGAGATTCGCAGCCTTTAAAATTGCAGTTCCTCTATCTGGAGGTCTAACTTCTATACACAAACGGAGGAGTTCAGTCTTGTATCAAACACCTAGATGCTTTAGATGGGATGGGTCAATATAAACTGGGACATGGGTGAAAATCCCAATCCCAACAGTCCCAACACTTCACCGTGAATATCTCACTCACTAAAAAACGCTTATTGCGATGCTTCTTCACCCTAACTTTGGATTATGGCAGTGTGTCAAAACCTTGTACCCCTGGTGAACATCAAAATAGCTGGTAAATGGATGTTCATTCCCCTAAAAATGGTATTAATAGGTATTGATCCATACCCAGATTTTCTACAGTCTCTGGGATGGTAAAGAATGATCTCCCTGCCAGCTTGCTGGCCTGACTTTGAAGCTGATCCAGTGGCGTGTACAAGGGCACGCCCGCGACCGTCAAGACCATGAAGAAGAAGAGGAAGACTCGCTGCAGAGCAATGGCTTGCGCATAGCCTTGGCGGGTGAGAAACCCCACCAAGAAACCTCCCAAACGGCCGGCCCAAACGGTTCATCATCATGTTCCACATGAAAATTACACAAAATTACTGAGTTGCAGGTCTCACACCGCTGCTGGGCGATGTTTGTTACGCACGAAAAAAAAAACATTGGCCCCTGTGTGCAGAACTCTGGTAGAGCTTAAAGAACGAACAATCTTATCTAGGTTGGATCATAAACATTCATAAACATTCATAAACCATATGCAATTGGGATTTGAATCACATACTCTGAAGGATAATCCCAAGAACCTTCCCCCAAAACCCAAAAGGCAGAGATCCACCCCTATATCCGGCTTTCTGGGCTATGTGTGTGCTTTGGTGGGAAGGATGAGCACACCCAAAGAAGAGAAAAATTGAACACCTGTAATTTTTGGTGAAGATCTTCTACAGCATCCTGGCAAAAATGGTTCCAATGATCTTATTTCTTTGTTGGTTGAACCCAATTCTTTAGCCAGTGAAACCCAAGTGGTAGCCCAAGTTATCACTTTGTATTGATAGTGATGTTTTTTTTCAAAAAATACCCCAAAATCGAGCCAAAATCCAACAGTTGATCACAATTTTCCCCATTTTTTGCGCTCCAAAAACGATAGGCAGGCTGCGGGGTATACCATGGCTATACCAATTAGATCCCATGAATCCCGATTGTCACTATAGATAGACAATGATAAACATATATAAATCCTCATGATTACAAGGCAATCCCAAAAACACGCCCATTGTTGACGTCACCTTCCCATGATTTTGGGATGTGGGGGACTGATAACACGATCGAGGCGCCAAACATCTTGGTGGCCCAATACTTGTGGCGGACGATGTCCTTCCGCAGGACGTGGTAGACCGTCTGTGTCCACACGTAGGCCTCGTCAACGAGGGGTAGGTCACGTGGGCTTTTACGGGACGATGCGGCGTTTGAGGACAATCCAAGTAGGATGAGAAAGAAACAGGTACATATTAGACAAATAGATGGATAGATGGATGGATAGATAGATGGAATATTAGTTTTAAAATGTTTAAAACATGTTCAAGCCATAACCATCACGAGTCCCGTGCCATGGCAGCTCCATAGGCGATGCTCAGCATGCGGATGCCGGGCGTGGGCGATTTCAAGGCTAAGCCCGTGCCGGTGATGATCTGCCCAAGCATGGCGAGGACCTGGCACAACGCCGATTTCTGGTGAAATCCCAGGGGCTAAAATGGGGAGATTCTATGGTTACTCAAGAATGTGCTAATTTCCTCAAAACATTCACATGGTGAACATCTAAGTAATCAACATACATACATACATACATACATACATACATACATACATACATACATACATACATACATACATACATACATACATACATACATACATACATTACATTACATTACATTACATTACAATACCATACCATACCATACCATACCATACCATACCATACCATACCATACCATACATACATACATTACATACATACATTACATACATACATTACATACATACATTACATACATACATTACATACGTTACATACATACATACATACATTACATTACATTACATTACATTACATTGCATTGCATTGCATTGCATTACATTACATTACATTACATACATACATACATATATATATATATATATATACTTGAGTTGCCCTTTGGCAAGCAAACATGGCCCTGGAAAAGCCTTCAGTGAGTTCGATCCATGATGTTGGATGATCTTCTTATTGAAACCTCCGTTGAGTTCATGCATTTTCCAGCCCGCCATGTTTGATAACACAGATGCTGGACTTCACCCAATGAAATTTATCGGCCATGTTTTGTCGTGGGAAAATGAGCGGCTCGAAGAACCACCGGGGTGTTGAGGATTTTTCGGAGTTTTATGTAACGTTTCAGACAACACCACCTTACTTTTCTCCAAATCCAATTGTGTTATCATCATTGTCTTATCAACGTTCCAACCAAAATGAAGAAAACAATTAAAACCAAAGGATCTTTGAACGGAAATTTCGGAAACTTCACTTTCAGCTTTCTGTCATGCTTTATGTCATGTTTCATTGTAATGTTTATTAAGCCATCATGTTCCTATCCGATCCACGATTTAACAACATCCATTCCTCCATGGTTCCACCATGGTGAACCACCGATGGCCTGGATGCGTCCATTCCAACGGTGGAGCCATAAGTGCTTGGCGCGAATCCACTTGATCAACTGAATCCTGGGCTGGCAGTTTTGTTGCGCAGATTTGTTGCTGTTCCTGGGGATTTGTCATGGGTGTTTTTTTTCATATAAGGGGTATATGAATGAATACGTGGGATGTGTGATGGTGATTGAGTAGGCATTGAAAAAACGTGGGATGCGGTCTGGGGGATTTCACTAGGATTTAATGTGGATATAATGGGAGTATCGTCATCTAGTCACAACAAATATTCATTATGTTCATGAATACATCAGCAACCGCATGATATCATATGATATTCCGGCTTTGTCCAGATGCTTGGGAGTCGGGGGTGCTCTGCGGGTGGGGTTGCTTCACTGGAGGCACAGGATTACGCGTACGTGTATAAAGATGTATACTGAAGTGCATGTGTAATCATATGTATATAGACACATAGAGAGAAAGAGAGACTTGATTTGGAAGTAATCTTTTATGAGTTCATGTTGGTATTGAAACTCATGGCTTTCCGGTACCCATTTTGGAAAACGCCCATACTGCCCATGGATATGACGTGGATCTTGCCCAAGGAGCCAACTCAAATTCCACCACAGAATCGCCGAGAAGACATGCGGCGCGAAATAGACCCACCTATTGGTGGCGCGGGGGGATGGAGGTTTGGGACGCCCAAAAACAACGAGGGTTTTTTGCGTAGATTTCATGGGACTGAATGGGACTTTAATGGGATGTAATATTGACATTGGAATGTTGAGAATAGTAATAGAATATTGGTTTATACCCTCTGGTTGTGGATGATCTCTATGGGATGTTGATTGTTTAATGGGACTTAATGGTGATATTAATTGGATACAGTCTTGGAACATTCATGAAATGGTGGTTTATGTGACAACCCGCCAGCAATCAGCTACATGGCTAGCTGGGAAATCCTCTACCCATGGGCATCTTATGCGTACATATATATATATATATATGGATATATATATATATATGGATATATATATATATATATATGTGGCAGGGACCTTTGGGGTCTATTTCGTTCCTCCTCGCACAAACGTACTCAAACGTCATTCTATATGCATATATACTATATACACAAGTAAATATGTCTACATGTGTGTACAAGTTCAACAGAAAGTCGCAATTTTTTCCCTTGCCCCTCAACCTGCGCAGCGTCCGTTTTCTGCTCCAAGAGATGCTGTCACCAGCACGCGCGAACGCACGCCAATTTGAACTCTGGGCAGAAGAGTCCTCCAGTGTCAATTGTGTTGCTTTCCATCCCTGCAAGCTACAAAGTTTTGGAATGCGCATGCAAGTTTGGGACTCTTGTGCGCTCATGCATGGGAATGTTTTGGTTGTCAGGAGTTTGTAGTTGCAGTTGCAATCTTAGTAATAAGCATAGTTTTATAGAAAAAACCTTAAAGGAACCTCATGGGCATGTAACACAAGCAACAAAGCAATGCAGACATGTTCCACCACTTCCACCTGTAGTGATGAAGAGGGAGGGTGATGGCGGCCAACCCCCTTCATTTTGTCATACTCATCACTTCATTGTTTTTGGCCCCGCTGTCGTCCCCTCTCAGGATCCTTTGAATGAAGAAGAGTTGCAAAAGCAGACCTTGGACCTCTTGGTGAACTTTGCATACAGGCTGCAGATGGATGGCTTGATGCCTGACCTGCCAGAACAGCCACCAGGTGAGCCCAGTAGTGGATCTGGTTTTCTGCGAGAAGTGGAAGGTTCTAAAGCCAAACACCCAGGTGCACCACTACTTGAAGCTTCTATGGCAATGGCGCCTGGCCCAAGTCCAGGTATCTGCGCGTCTTCACCAGCCAGTGCAACTACGGTCTTGCCAGTTCAACCTGATGTTGGTTTGCCACTCCTGAAGTACCCCCTCTGAGGCTTCAGCAGCATGCATCCCCAAAGAACTACCTGGTCCAGTTCCAGAAGCAATGGGGGAGGTTGACCTGTACTCCTTCTTTATTGCACCAAACAAAAAGGCTCTCAAGCTTCGACTGGGCCGTCCTCTGCTCAAGATGTATCTGATAGGAAATTCATACATTTTCTCAAGCATCATATGTTTCTATGGTCTTGCTTTCTGTGTGGGATTCAAGTTTCTTGATCTATGCATTTAGTATTGTTCATTCTCAGGTACCAGAGTTCGTGCCTCCTCGAGGAACTTCTAGTGGAGGTTGGTTCAGGAAAGGTTCTGGGCTAGTAGTTGCTTGGAAGCTTGGAGAAGCGCACAGGATGAGATGCCTACTATAACGATGGGAAGAGGTTTCACGGGTGAAGGCGTATGTGGCAGCTTTGGTGGGCTACGTCAAAAAGTGTGGATGGCAAAAGAACTTGGAGGGTGAGTATGGCTTGAACACTTGTACTCGCCTAAGATCTTACTGACTCCAGCAAAGCCTGGGTGGTTTAAAAAAACCTTATATCAAACTATCAAACAGTAAGAATTTCAATTCTGTTTCTAAATTGAAAATAAAGCAGTCGCAATTTTCAATTCGGAAATCGAAATTGAAAATCCAACAGTCACCATTTCAATTCAGAAATTTAAATTGAAAATCAAACAGTCGCCATTTAAATTCAGAAATCTAATAGAAAATCAAACATTCACCACTTCAATCACAAATCTACCTTGAAAATCAAACGATCACCATTTCAATTCAGAATTCCAAATTGAAAATCAAACAATCTCCATGTCAATTCAGAGATCTAAATTGGAAAACAAACAGTTGGCATTTCAATTCAGAACCTTAACTTGAACCTACAATAGTATATTGTTTACTTTTCAGATTTTGATATTAATTTGGTTTACTATTTGGCACAACTATCAAAAAAATAATGTAGTTTTTACATAAGCAGCCTTTAGGGCTTTCATTTTTTTAGCCAAAAAGCACATTGATGCTTTCATTTTTTGAAGCTGTCACAAGTATAGCACATTGATGCTTCAGGTTTTGGTGTTCCATTAGTGCATCAGACATGTGTCCTTTGCATTTTTCTTGTCAAGGTGTAAGCTGTCAGGATGTCCAGTAATAGGGGTCAGGCACGGGGTTCAGCCACTGATCCAATGGTATCTCGACAATTTCAAACCTGGACCTCATCCAATGGATGGAAGAGCCTCTGGTATGTCGAGATTCATCAATCAGGTTTTGATTCTTGGTTACCAGGTTGAAATTCATCATGTTTTTAAAGCATACGGGAACTCAGGTAGTATGAGGATAGACGTAAACGGTAAACGAATTGCTCGCTTGCTCAGGCAGGATGCTCTTGAGCACTTCAAGCAGAATGAAGGCCCACATCTTTTGCCTGCCAGCCTGAAGAACTTGATCAAAATCAGTTACATGTTGGCTGGGGTCCCTGTTCTTTCTGGCGATGCTATCTGCGCCTGATAGCTGCAGCTGTATGCCCATAGTGCATGGAAAGCCTGGATGAAAACATACTTGGGTGGAATCAAAATACTGTGGGGGGAGAAAAAATATTTTAAAAAACACCATGTGGTGTACTTGTTTTCTTCTGGCCCAGTGGCCTTTCCTGCTATTTTGAAACTATTGTGGTTTATGCCCAAGGGGCTTTCATGTAAAGGTCCAGGGTTGGGTATGAGAGCCCACTGAAGTTTATATGCTTCTAACCTTAAAGGGTCCCAGAACCCATTCCCACCGACTCTTGCTACAGGTTTTGCTGATAGGGCTTTCATTTTATTTTGTAAACTAAATTGTTTCTGCCCAAAGGGGCTTTCATGTAAAGGCTTAAACTCCTTTATCCCATGCCCAAAGGAGCTGTCATAATTCTAACTTTGAAGGTTAGCAGAATCAATTCTCTTCTGCTTCTGCTGCAGTGGGCCCATAGGAATTGTGGGCTCACCTTAGCCTAGATCCTTTGGTCACCATGGCTACTTGGGACGTTGAGGACTTAGTCAAGGAGATTAGTGATATGGAAGCGATTTACCAAAGGAACGCTGGTTCACAGCTGGTGCCACGAATGCAGGAAGCTTTGCAGTCCAAAGTGAACGGTGTCCAAATGCTCACTGCTTCTAACTTCTTGAAGCGTCCTGATGCTGTTCAAAATGGCATCTTGACTGCTGACACGAAGGCAGAGTTGCAAGCATTTCTCGAATCAAGGGCAGCCTCTTCAATCCAAGGGGCCACCAGGTTGCAGGCTACACCTCAAAGCATGACCACGCCTTGGAACTACCTGTCCCAAAGCGAATGGCAGCAGATGCAGAATGGCATCAACACAGTTGATGCTACCCACATGCTGATCAAAAGAATCAAAGTGTGTGGGTTGAAAAGCCTCAAAGAAGACACCAAGAAGTACTTGACATCCTTTTTGGTCAGCCTTCAGGTGAAATCACCAATGTCTTGCCTCCAGTTTTTGACATGTACAAATTTTGTGCTGGATACGTTCGAGGCTGTGGTGGCTCAACCTCTGCATGCTGGTTTGGCAAGGTACCCACCTAGCCCCCACGACATTGGGGAGGCACTGGGTTTGTAGAATCTTTGGTGATGGCTGCTTTCAAGCTGATAATTTTGAAGTCAAAATTTAGCCATGACATAATCCCTGAACACACACACACATGGACACGTATACATATTTCCATTTGAACATAAACACTTGCAGGCTTTCTGCTTGCTCGCTACCAGTCATATGATAAACCTTGGAAGCATTGCCAAGAAAGTCACGGTGAGCGGAACTGCCAAGGAACTCAGGGCTGTGGCCACTCCACAGGCAACCTCTCAGCAGTTGCCAGCAGAGCCTTCGACAGGGAAAGATCCTACAAACAGTATGGTGACCACCCATCTCTTTGACATGATGGAGAAACAGGCCAGAGCTTTGGATGCCTTGAGCCAGAAAATCTTGAACAATGATAGCTTGGAGAAGCCTCCTTCCAGCAACTCCTTGCTCTCAGATGGGGCCGGCCCAAGGGACTCCTGACTCCCAAAGCTTTGCCGGCAGTTCCAGCTGTTTTGCCTCTACCTGCACCTTCTGACTGTGCTGCACCTGCTGGAGGAAATGATGGCACCCAGGCAAAAGCCTTGAGGACTATGAAGCTGAGGCCAAACACATGCTCACCAAGAGGAAGGGCAATGATTTGGATACTGCCATGAAGAGGCCAGCTTCTAAGAAAACCCTAGCCAAAGCAGAGCCCAAGCAAAAGGCCATTGTGAAGAAGAATGCTGAGGAAGCAAAGCATGTCACACCAGCTTTCCTCAAAGGAATCTATGGATGTGTGAGATGCCGTGGCAGTGTGAGTGGCTGTGACAAGTGCCAGTCTCCCTACTTTGGGGGGACTCAGTCTCAGTTCAAGACAGGAATACAACAACTGGTAACAAGAAAGGCAGCAGGGGAACAAAAGGAAGTGTAAATATTTCCTTGGTCAGACAAAAGATCGTGGGCTGCCTTGTGGTAAATAACCATGCAAACACAGCAATGGTAAATCATACAGGCAGTGGGGGAAAACAGAAACGCTTAGGCTTTCTCTTGACATACTTATCTAGACATATTTTCCAGCATGAAAGTAAGTGACCACTAACTTGCAGTGCTGCCCTTGGTTCTGCTTGTTGTTTTTCAGTTTTGGCTTCAAGAGCTATCATTTGAAATCCGTTTGCCTGCAAGGGCTTTTTTGTTTGAATATGTTTGAATCAGTAGCACAGCATTGTGGGCACAGCTTTCTGCAAGGCTACTGCATGAAGCAAGGCC